CAATACCAGCTCCACCGATTTTGTTTTCTGTTACGACTCGTAAGTCATCCACTCTCTTGTCCTGTGGTGAAGCCTTCCTTCATCATTTTCAATTTTTAGTTGTATTTTAGGTATATTCAGCAGTCCCTATGGAATGAAATGCTTTTCCATGCGTCACATCCTTCCCTCCCACGTGTCAAATCCTTCTCCATGGGTCAAATTCTTTTTTCTCCTGTGTTGCAAATTTTGTGTGTCAACACAGGATTGTTCTGCCATTGATCAAATCATGGAATATTTCCATTTGCAATCAAGCACTATTTACGATTTCAACATTACAATATTGATCGTCATCTGTTGCTTGGAGGTATTTTTTTTATCTGTATTTCGATGGCTTTATTTATTATAATACTGTTGCAATTCGATTTCACTCAACACTATAATATCTAAATCCATTTAGTAAATAATATTTCTAATATAGTAATTTTTTTTGAGCTGACCACGTCTCTGTTAAATCTTTTGTTTGAAAAATCTGTTTTTCCTTGCTGTTTTGATTTGGTTTGAAGTCTTGGATAGTTAATGGGTAGAATCAACGAGGTAAGACCTGAATATCTTTACGGTATACAATATCTTAATGGTATACAATACCGACAAGTTGATAAGTAAGACACATGAGGCACAGTGAGGGACTGACCACCTCAAAACTACGTCTTCGAGGGTGATGGACTGATTACACAGTCTCTACATTTCTACTACTCTACTGCTGCTGTTTATCAACGAAGTGAGACTTATTAGGTAAAGGGAATGCGGCCTATTACACCAATTTCCCTATAAAAATTTATCTTTTAACTCATTTCTGCAGTTAGGTTTTAAGCTCTTTATGTTAGAATGTTTATTTTTCCATTAGATTAGCCTTTCCTAGAAGTTAGGAGCTTAGTATTTTTACGTCCTTAAATTATTGGAAGTTTTTCAGTAAATCGTTATTTTTTTCAATCATGTGAAAGCTTTCAGTACTAAACCACTGGATTTCTTAGGGTTTTCAACTCTTATTTCCTGCTATGTATTATTATCGTTCGGTAGCGTTATTATGACCCCAATACCGATCCTTTGAGCGGTATAGTCGACCAGAATCACAGAGGCACAACAATGGCTCCAGGGACTGAATACAATTCTGCCTGCAAATCGGTTTTTAAATCCTTATAAATCCGCACCAAACTGACCAATAACTCGCACGAAGTTGGTCGTAAATCCGCGCTAAATTATCCCTGAATCCTCACCAATGCGGCCAGTAATCCACAGAAAAACCCCTGCAGCAACCCGCCTGAACAGGCAAGAAGAGACACGCCCTCCGCCCCGCCCGTGCGATCAGACCGTTATCGTGTGAAATATATCGTCTCCCGCTCCGGTAATCTGCCTCTTCCCGAAGCAATAATAAGGATGAGACCTTGACGGCGGCAAGACGTTGCCAGAGAGACCAGAGGACCAGTGTTGCCACTCACCGCTACGACCCTTTTGAAGAAATCGGTAGTGTTGCCTCCCTCTAAAGACCATCTTGAAGACGTCAGCAGTGTTGGCACCCAACGCCAAGACCCTTCTGGAGACTTCACAAGTCTTTCAATCTCCTACGCAGCAGGGGCTCCAAGACTTTAGCGACCTTTGGGAGAAGACAGCCACCAAATAGTGTTGCCAGCGATGATCAAGGTCTTCCCGGAGACCAGAGATCTCCAAGACCTTCCGGGGACCCTAAAGGTATTTCCACAATGTCCGAGACCTTTCAGAAGACTCCAGTGTTGTTTCCAGTAACCCCAGACGCTGCCGGAGAGCCAGCAAACAGCAGCAGCAGCAGCAGCAGCAGCAGCAGCAGCAGCATCCAGCAGACCAGTGCAGCCAGCGGCTGACAATAGCCGGATAGCCATCTCGCCGGAAAATGTCAAGGTGGGTTGTGTTGCGAGTGGGAAACGTGAGCTGCCAGAGGCTCTCTGTCGACACCGCGGGCGTGCTGGCCCTTGCTTGACACCTTCATAGATCTTGTTAGTGTGCCAGATACCTATGTGCACCTTGTTAGTGTGTCATGTATGTTCGTGGCCCTTGATAATGTACTTACCGAATTGTGTTGGCAAGGGTCGAGACTCCTCTCCTGGCCAGGTTGACATATACTAGTTTCTGGCCTTCTGCGCCCTATCATACCTACTTCTGAAACTCTGTACGTAGTTTACCTCAATCACTTTCTTCTTAAGGTCATTCCACTGAAGAAATATTTCCAAATGTCTCTGTGACTCATTTTTATCTTTAGCGTCCACCTGCTCCTTCTTGTCCCTGTCTGACTTATCGAAACCTGTGTGTCAGGCACCTTTGTGCTGCCTTGTTAGTATGTTAGTCACCTTTGTGTTGCCTTGTTTGTGTGTCAGGCACCTTTGTGTTGCCATATTAGTGTGTTGGAATTAGCGGACTTCATTTAACTCTACCCAGAGTCATCTGCCTTGACCTTTCGCATCGTATGTTGCCTGCGGACTCTGTAACTCCACCTGTCTTGCGTCAGCTGGCCTCCCAGGTGGCTCTCAGTACCCCTCAGGTGGCTCTCAACATCGACAACCGGCTCTTATTACCCCGCCCAACTGGCTTATAGCATCGGAGTGCCACAGCAGCAATACTTGTGTTATTTACTCTACCATCTACCACTATTCCATATCTACCATCAATCCCTATCTACCACCATTACCTCTCTACTACCATTACATATCTACCACCATTCTACATCTACCATCATTTCCCATTTTCACCGTTATTACATACCAGCATTATCTACCCCAATTTTTACTAACCACCATTGTGACCTACCAACATTGTAACCTACCAACATTATAACCTACCAACATTATAACCTACCAACATTGCGAGTCAGCTCGTCTCGTGGTGAATGGGATGTGTTGGTCAACATCTCCGCGCAGGATATAAATATTGTGAGGTGTATGTTTCTCAGTGTACACATACCGAAAATTTAATCCTACCTGATAGATGAACAAGTTACAATCAGCGTTCAGATCCTTCGAGTAATCGCTAAACTTTTAAGTCCAGTTAGCCAACGAGCATCCACGTGTGAATCAGCGTCTTGAAAGGACCTTTGTTGGTAAACATCCTCACCACGTGGGGAAATAGTTGACTGGCAAGGGTACCTCAGGGGAGGTTCCCCGCCCTCACGTTGTTTCAGACGACCTTGGCGGCGGCCTAGACCAGCTGACCTTGATGTAGATCTACTTTTTGGGGGGAAGAGGCGAAGAGACGCGTAAATTACATGTGAACACAAACATTAGTATCACTACAATAATGTACACAATACCGACAAGATGATAAGACACATGTGTAACAGTTAGGGTTCGATTCCCGGCGGGTGGAAACATTTCGACACGTTTCCTTACACCTGTTGTCCTGTTCACCTAGCAGTAAATAGGTACCTGGGTGTTAGTCGACTGGTGTGGGTCGCATCCTGGGGGACAAGATTAAGGACCCCAATGGAAATAAGTTAGACAGTCCTCGATGACGCACTGACTTTCTTGGGTTATCCTGGGTGGCTAACCCTCCGGGGTTAAAAATCCGAACGAAATCTTATCTTATCTTAGGTATCTATATTCTGAAATGTTTCGCCAACACAGTAGGCTTCTTCAGTCAAATGCAAAGGAGGTGCCAGAAGTGGTAGAGATGTAAAGACGATGTAATCAGTCCATCACACTTGAAGATGTGGTTTTGAGGTGGTCAGTCCCGAAAAGACGAAGAAGTCAATACTTGTTCAAAACCCTGGGTGTTTATACTTGAAGAAATTTCGCCAACCAGTGGCTTTATCAGTTCATTACAAGATTCAGGGACTGATTACCTCATCTTCCACTGTCTTCGTATGTCATCTTTGTGTTGAACTGATAAAGACTGGCGAAACGTACATCCAGGTGTAGCACATTTGTCTAATCCTTCTGAAGTAGATCATATTGTACGAGATGAATAGTTTTGAAAACGAATAACTTGAATACATCGAATGGAATACTTCTGTCATAAAAGTTATATTTTGTTTTTAAATCACAACAGAAACATAAAGTCGCAAATTGTTTAGTCCTTAGCCAGACTAAAATATTTATGCTTATTAGTGAAGTCTGCGCCACATTAGCCTCCTAGAGGCGTGGAGGTCAAGGAGGTCAGGGATCACAGAGGGTGGTAGACTGTTCCACACGGTGTGGAACAACGTGTGGAGTGGAACAATGAGACGAGGTGTCAGGACGCATCAAAAGACCGAGGGGGTTTGCCTTGATGCCGGGTGGTCTCTTGATCCAAGAAATTGGAGGTACTCTCCCTTCTCATGGATCAAACCTCATTACCGTCCATTCTCCAGGCATTGTACTGCAGATACGGGTTTTGCGTTTCCCTTAATATTCATTTAATTATACTTCATATTAATAAACTAAATTATTATGTACCTAATAAAAATATGAAAATAAGAATATAACTTTTATTAAAGTGTATTCTATTTATATGTAAATATTATAAAATTAAAATTATAGACAAACAGTTATATTAAATAATGTTTGTTACTAACCCAAAGAAAAGTTCCTAGACAATGACAAAGACAAGTATTTACACAAGATGGTCAACTTGCTCAATTATTCCCTCTACTGAAGGTTTCAACCAGCCAGTCATCATTTATGAGCAATTATCACCTTTACTCCTTATTACGCTGCATTATCACCATAAATACGTGAGCACAGACAAGAGTATCACATTATTATTATTATTATTATTATTATTATTATTATTATTATTATTATTGCTGTTATTTATGAGAGGAAATTTGCATTTGTTGTGGATCGTGTACAAATGTGTCTGCCATTCTGCTGTTGTTAGGCTTGTTTGTTGCGTTTCACTCACCATTACTCGTGTAGATGTGTGATGTCAGCGCCACCTATGACTGAGGTTTCTAACCTCACCTGTGTGCTTCCCCCTGGAGGCGGAGGTTCTAGTTTCCCTTCTGTTACTTTTGTCGTTGTTTACCTCTGAGCTGCCCCAGGGATGGTAATTACATAGCTCCAATATCTGTCCTCTCGGCGCCTGAATGGACTATCCTCTGGGGTATGAATTACTTTGTGATGTCTTCTTGTTGGCTAGTACAAGGATGTCGTTGGGGTGTTTGTGCTTGGGTATGTACCTACGTACTCGCTCCTAATTATTCTTGCCTCTTTATGTTCGTTGTTGTATCACCCTTATGGGTTTAGTGCTTAGCTATGATTGCAATAATAATAGGAATAATTTATACTACTGGGAAGAGATTCTCAGCTCCTGGACCCACCTACTCTTAACTACAAAAGATAGGTTCAATGCTTCCCTGCCTCGTGCATCTTGTCGTACCTATCCTTGAAGTTGTGTATGTCGGTTCTTTCGAAGATCCCTCCGTTTCTTGACCACCCTGAAGCTGTACTTCCAGACATACCCATCTATTATCTGTTTACTGTCCAACTATGCACCAGATCCAATTCCCTAGATCAAGAGCCCCTCACCAGCATCAAGGAACCTCCCTTGAGGGTACAGGTAGGACAAGATGCACAAGGCAGGGAAACATTGCATCTATCTTCTGTAGTTAAGAGGGAAGCTCTTCGTTGAGCAAATTATTCAATCAAGACTTGATGAAGCTCTCCACAGGGCGAAACGTTGCATCATGCTCTGCAACGTGTGCCTGCATCTTGCATCATCAGTTCACCAGCCAATCAGATAATCCCAAATTAGACGATCAAAATTGAAAAATTCTCAACGACCATTAACGGCAATTTATTTTTTATCAGATATAACAATAATTTCTTTAATAAATTTGTGCTATCCACCTGAGCTATTTTTTTTTTATTCTTTTTTATTCCCCTCTGACTCGAAAAGAGAGGAAGATGGAAGGGTGAATAATCGAGACTTAAAATATAGAATAAACACGGACTGCTTGCTAGCTCCAGCGATTTATTCATTACAAAGGAAGAAAGAGATTAATGGTGGATCCAAATTAATGTTTTTTTTATATATATAGATAGTATTAGATTTAAAAGAAATCAGGGAACTTGTGGGGTTCGGATCCGTGTCATGTGAGTCTCATGGCAGTGTGATCTGCTTGCAGTTGTTGCTTTTAGATTTCGTGCTTTAGTGTCAGGTTCGTAGTGTTAGGTTAATTATCTGTGGTTTGCGTAAAGTGGTGCCCCCTGTCGCTACTTCGTAGTATACGACAGGAAGCAGGTTAGGTTAGGTAAGGTTCGTCAGGAAACAGGACAAATGTTTCCTGACGCGGGTCTTAGTCAGATGATGACCCGCCTTTGGAGCTTTTGGTCATCTGACCGAGGCCTTCCGCTGGCTTACCGGTCCACCCCTTTAAAAATTATGGTCATTTATAACCAGTCTGTCTATATACCTTAATAATGACAGGAAGCACTTATGTTATAATATTATATATTTTATAGGCTGAAGAAGGCTACAGAGCAAACGAAACGTTACGATAATAGATGCGTCAATTACGGTACTGAGGGACTGATTAGCTCGTTTTTGATATATAGTTCTACAGTCTTCCCATTATGTTCTTCATTTGTATCATACAAATAAAGCTACTCAGATGTTGTACATAAGAATGTAGGAACACTGCAGAAGGCCTACTGGCCCATACGAGGCAGGTCCTTATCAAAACGACATCTACCTAAAGCTACTCAAGAAATAACTCCCGTACCCCTTGACACCAATACATGTCTAATTCTTCACAGCCAGGATAGTAATGTTCCTACCACTGCTACTACAATTGTCTCCAGAAGGCTGTACGAGTGCCGACACCGAACGAATTTGTTCCCATAAGGAATAATGTAAATTAGATTAGTCCATTTCAGACCCCGAAAAATACACTTACAAAAGTACTTACAAAAATACACTTACATACTTGTTCGAGTTGCGAGCTGTTCGTAACTCGAGGTACCACTGTATTTCTACTACCACTGCTACTACTACTAACACACACACACACACACACACACACGATAAACCGTATCAGTCTTCAGGATGTTTGAAATATTTTTTTTGTGAAATAAATTCAGATAATAGACACCAGAATTTTTACAGAAGACAGTGTGTCAGTTTTGGTTGTGTGTGTTAATGTCAGAGATAACATATATCAGTCTTTAGTATCCTAAATATTTATGCGTTATCTTGTAGCGCACAAAGCAAGCAACAGATAAGATGGATCTTTGCTGAGACTATCTTGAAACTAGTGTTGTAACACACGAGAGTGCCAGGATAACGCACACACGAGAGTGCCAGGATAACGCACACACGAGAGTGCCAGGATAACGCACACACGAGAGTGCCAGGATAACGCGCACACGATAGTGCCAGGATAACGCACACACGATAGTGCCAAGATAACGCACACACGATAGTGCCAAGATAACGCACACACGAGAGTGCCAAGATAACGTACAAACGAGAGTTCCAGGGCAACGCACACACGAGAGTGCCAAGACAACGCACACACGAGAGTGCCAGGATAATGCGCACACGAGAGTGCCAAGACAACGCACACACGAGAGTGCCAAGACAACGCACACACGAGAGTGCCAAGACAACGCACACACGAGAGTGCCAAGACAACGCACACACGAGAATGCCAAGACAACGCGCACACGAGAGTGCCAAGGAAACGCACATACAAGCGTTAAGATTTGCAAGCAGGAAGTCTGCAAGAAGACGAGACTTGGGGATACACAATACATAGAGGATACTTAAAAACATACAAAGCTGATATATTTGAAATGTGAGCACCAAGAGCACAGGGACGGAGAAGTTACTCAGGTACACAGTGAATAAGGTTGGTAAGTTGTGGATACCAACACGATACACGGGTTTGAGATTAATATTGATGCTTGAAACCTGTGATACAACGACGAAGCTCAAGAGCTGTAGCCAGGAGCCAAGGTTCGATCCTCACAAATAGATTAGTGAATACGCACGCACGCACCCATCACCCTGCGCACCGCCCCCCGCCCTCCACCTGCTGCCCAAACGCAGGTATTTTATGGGCGAGTAATTAGGAAGTGTGTAACATAGTTGTATGACCTTGAAGGTCGATGTTTAGTATTCTAGTATCAGCAGTAGTAGTAGCAGCAGAGGTAGTACCAGAAGCAGCAGCAGCAGAGGTAGTAGCAGCAGCAGCAGCAGCAGCAGAGGTAGTAGCAGCAGCAGCAGTTGTAGTAGTAATCACTACACTCCTAGTTTAATAACCGTCAGAAAAAAAATGTAGGTTTTTGCTATAAATACAGACCTAAATTCTGTTGTTTTTATTGATGGTGGTGGTAGTGGTTGATGTGATGGTGGTTGATGGTGGTGGTGGTGGTTGACGTGATGGTGGTTGATGGTGGTGGTGGTTGATAGTGGTGGTTGACGTGATGGTGGTTGATGGAGGTGATGGTTGATGGTGGTGGTGGCGGTTGACGTGATGGTGGTTGATGGTGGTGGTGGCGGTTGACGTGATGGTGGTTGATAGTGGTGGTGGTTGATAGTGGTGGTTGACGTGATGGTGGTTGATGGTGGTGGTGGCGGTTGACGTGATGGTGGTTGATAGTGGTGGTGGTTGATAGTGGTGGTTGACGTGATGGTGGTTGATGGTAGGATCTTGAGGCTACTAGTGAAGCGCTCTTGATCTAAGGAAATTAGATGCCCTCCCTTGGATCATACCTGGTTACTTCCGATTCTCTAGGTGATGCATGACCCCTCCGGATTTAACGCTTCCCAATAAACATCACATTTCCACACCCACTACCTATTTTCTAATCACAGCTACTGCTAATCCCTTCCACAAATCATATAATCCGCAATAATTATTAAACGCATCACTCAAGTAGCTAAATATTCTGGAGGCAAAAAAAAAAAAAGCAAAAAACGGTTAATTAGAGGACCACTCAAATAATATCAGTATTAAACACACCAAGAATTGCAACAAAAAACTGCTAAATGATCCAAGGCAATTTATGAAAACGTCAAGAGCAAGATACTCATCAATATCTCTGTCACATGTCGCAATTATCTGAAAATCAGTTGCACGAGTGTAAACAGTATTGGTGTGGTGATGTGTGCGACCCTGGGTGCTGTGGCTGGGATGGTTCTTGCTCCAGACTTCCAAAACAGTGGAGGTTGTACTGTTGTCAGTTCCATCAGGGCTAGATAGTGAGGAGACTGTCAGGTGTCGTCAGCGGGGAGACTGTTTGGTATTTGACTTTGTCATTGCTGGTCCGCAGTCTGCCTTGTATTTGGCACAAGAGTGACACCCGGGATGTACACAGATCCTAACACCAAGGATATCGCCCCTGGCTCGCGAATCAAGGTGGGTCTGTCTCCTGGCGTGGATTAAAGACACATGACGTACTCAGTGGCTGAGAAAAATCGCTGTGGCGCCTCTGCAGGCAACTAGATGTTGGAAAGCAGGCAGGCGATGAGGCGTATCAGTAGGAAGGTATAGGTAAGGTAGGTAAACAAAATGAAGCACCTTTCGTTGTGACAGTTCAAGGGTGAGTTACGAAGGACTTTTAAGATAACACCAAGCAGGTTATACTCAAGATCTGAGAAGCTGTCTGTTTCCCCTCAGGAGCTGTCTGTTCTCCCCCAGATATCTGCTCTTCTCGGAAGATCATGCATCTACCGTAATAGTCTACAAGCCTCCGGATGCAACATCCCAGCAATTCCAGGAACAGCTGTTAAAAATTGACCACTGTCTGGAAAATCTTCCAGCTCCTGCACCCAACATCTTGCTCCTGGGGGACTTCAACTTAACGCACCTAAAATGGAGGAATATAGCAAATAATATTGTTGCAGTAATAACACCAGGAGGCAGCTCTGATGAAAACTCACACTCACACGAGCTTTTAAATCTCTGCACAAAATTCAATTTAAACCAGCAAATAATAGAGCCTACTAGACTGGAGAATACACTAGACCTCATCTTCACTAACAATGATGATCTGTAGATGAATGGTTCAGAGAACCGACATGTTGATAAATTAGACACATGTGCAACTCTTGGGTATCTTTATTGAGGAAACGTTTCGCCACACAGTGGCTTCATCAGTCCATACAAAGGAGAATCTTGAAGAACAGGAGGAGAATGAGGTAATCAGTCCCTCAACCTTGAGTCGATGTGGTCAGTCCATCAATCTTGAATAGATTGATGGACTGACCACATCGACTCAAGGTTGAGGGACTGATTACCTCATTCTCCTCCTGTTCTTCAAGATTCTCCTTTGTATGGACTGATGAAGCCACTGTGTGGCGAAACGTTTCCTCAATAAAGATACCCAAGAGTTGCACATGTGTCTAATTTATCAATGATGATCTGATAAGAAATGTCACCATATCAAAAACAATATACTCAGATCACAACATAATTGAGGTTCAGACATGTATGCGCGGAGCCCCAGACCGACATAATGAGACTAGTCACGAGGGAGCATTCACCAAATTCAACTTCAATAACAAAAACATAAAGTGGGACCAAGTAAACCAAGTCCTAACCGATATAAGCTGGGAAGATATACTAAGCAACACAGACCCAAACTTATGCCTAGAACAGATTAACTCGGTGGCACTCGATGTATGCACAAGGCTTATTCCTCTAAGAAAAAGGAGGAGTAGATGTAAAATAGAAAGAGACAGGCGCTCCCTTTACAGGCGACGGAAAAGAATAACAGAGCGGCTAAAAGAGGTCAATATATCTGAAATGCGCAGGGAGACACTGGTCAGAGAAATAGCAAGCATCGAACTTAAGCTAAAAGAATCCTTTAGGAGTCAGGAATCGCGGGAAGAACTAAAAGCCATAAATGAAATCGAAAGAAACCCAAAGTATTTCTTCTCCTATGCCAAATCAAAATCGAGAACAACGTCCAGTATTGGGCCCCTACTTAAACAAGATGGGTCCTACACAGATGACAGCAACGAAATGAGTGAGCTACTCAAGTCCCAATATGACTCAGTTTTTAGCAAGCCGCTAACCAGACTGAGAGTCGAAGATCAAAATTAATTTTTTTATGAGAGAGCCACAAAATTTGATTAACACAAGCCTATCCGATGTTATCCTGACGCCAAAGGACTTCGAACAGGCGATAAATGACATGCCCATGCACTCTGCCCCAGGGCCAGACTCATGGAACTCTGTGTTCATCAAGAACTGCAAGAAGCCCCTATCACGAGCCTTTTCCATCCTATGGAGAGGGAGCATGGACACGGGGGTCGTCCCTCAGTTACTAAAAACAACAGACATAGCCCCACTCCACAAAGGGGGCAGTAAAGCAACAGCAAAGAACTACAGACCAATAGCACTAACATCCCATATCATAAAAATCTTTGAAAGGGTCCTAAGAAGCAAGATCACCACCCATCTAGAAACCCATCATTTACACAACCCAGGGCAACATGGGTTTAGAACAGGTCGCTCGTGTCTGTCTCAACTACTGGATCACTACGACAAGGTCCTAAATGCACTAGAAGACAAAAAGAATGCAGATGTAATATATACAGACTTTGCAAAAGCCTTCGACAAGTGTGACCACGGCGTAATAGCGCACAAAATGCGCGCTAAAGGAATAACAGGAAAAGTCGGTCGATGGATCTATAATTTCCTCACTAACAGAACACAGAGAGTAGTCGTCAACAGAGTAAAGTCCGAGGCAGCTACGGTGAAAAGCTCTGTTCCACAAGGCACAGTACTAGCTCCCATCTTGTTCCTCATCCTCATATCCGACATAGACAAGGATGTCAGCCACAGCACCGTGTCTTCCTTTGCAGATGACACCCGAATCTGCATGACAGTGTCTTCCATTGCAGACACTGCAAGGCTCCAGGCGGACATCAACCAAATCTTTCAGTGGGCTGCAGAAAACAATATGAAGTTCAACGATGAGAAATTTCAATTACTCAGATATGGTAAACATGAGGAAATTAAATCTTCATCAGAGTACAAAACAAATTCTGGCCACAAAATAGAGCGAAACACCAACGTCAAAGACCTGGGAGTGATTATGTCGGAGGATCTCACCTTCAAGGACCATAACATTGTATCAATCGCATCTGCTAGAAAAATGACAGGATGGATAATGAGAACCTTCAAAACTAGGGAGGCCAAGCCCATGATGACACTCTTCAGGTCACTTGTTCTATCTAGGCTGGAATATTGCTGCACTCTAACAGCACCTTTCAAGGCAGGTGAAATTGCCGACCTAGAAAATGTACAGAGAACTTTCACGGCGCGCATAACGGAGATAAAACACCTCAATTACTGGGAGCGCTTGAGGTTTCTAAACCTGTATTCCCTGGAACGCAGGAGGGAGAGATACATGATTATATACACCTGGAAAATCCTAGAGGGACTAGTACCGAACTTGCACACGAAAATCACTCACTACGAAAGCAAAAGACTTGGCAGACGATGCACCATCCCCCCAATGAAAAGCAGGGGTGTCACTAGCACGTTAAGAGACCATACAATAAGTGTCAGGGGCCCGAGACTGTTCAACTGCCTCCCAGCACACATAAGGGGGATTACCAACAGACCCCTGGCAGTCTTCAAGCTGGCACTGGACAAGCACCTAAAGTCAGTTCCTGATCAGCCGGGCTGTGGCTCGTACGTTGGTTTGCGTGCAGCCAGCAGCAACAGCCTGGTTGATCAGGCGCTGATCCACCAGGAGGCCTGGTCACAGACCGGGCCGCGGGGGCGTTGACCCCCGAAACTCTCTCCAGGTAAACTCCAGGTAATAAAAGACAGACATGGCTGTTGGATGATCTTCTGCCTCATTTCTGTGGTCTGTTTAAAATGCATTGTGCATCATGGATTGTATGCAGATTACTCAGGAGGGCTTTGCATAGCTGTGTTGTGTGGGATTATTGTTCATTTTTCAACTGTGCCTCTGTGTAAGAGCCTTTCTGTGTAAAGCATTTGCTGACGTCTGAATATCACTATTCTTCCCTAAAGTGAAATTAAGTTCAGTTTTTATTTACGACACATATTGGTTATCCTAATATTCAATTTATGCGAATTTATTGCACAGTGTTTATTGCTAATGTCTACCGCAGTGTTTATTGTTAATGTCTACCGCAGTGTTTATTGCTAATGTCTACCGCAGTGTTTATTGCTAATGTCTACCGCAGTGTTTATTGTTAATGTCTACCGCAGTGTTTATTGTTAATGTCTACCGCAGTGTTTATTGCTAATGTCTACCGGCGTGTTTATTGCTAATGTGTACCGCAGTGTTTATTGTTAATGTCTACCGCAGTGTTTATTGTTAATGTCTACCGCAGTGTTTATTGTTAATGTCTACCGCAGTGTTTATTGCTAATGTCTACCGCAGTGTTTATTGCTAATGTCTACCGCAGTGTTTATTGCTAATGTCTGCCACAGTGTTTAGTGCTGATGTCTACCGCAGTGTTTATTGCTAATGTCTACCGCAGTGTTTATTGCTAATGTCTGCCACAGTGTTTATTGCTGATGTCTACCGCAGTGTTTATTGCTAATGTCTGCCGCAGTGTTTATTGCTAATGTCTACCGCAGTGTTTATTGCTAATGTCTACCGCAGTGTTTATTGCTAATGTCTACCTGGAGATACCTGGAGTGGTGATACCTGGAGAGAGTTCCGGGGGTCAACGCCCCCGCGGCCCGGTCTGTGACCAGGCCTCCTTAGTCCCAGGATGCGACCCACACCAGTCGACTAACACCCAGGTACCCATTTTACTGATGGGGAACATAGACAACAGGTTGAAAGAAACACGTCCAATGTTTCTACTCTGGCTGGGAATCGAACCCAGGCCCTCACCGTGTGAAGCGAGAGCGTTAACCACCAGGCCACCAGAGCAATAAACCGCAGTGTTTATTGCTAATGTCTACTGCAGTGTTTATTGCTAATGTCTACCGCAGTGTTTATTGCTAATGTCTGCCGCAGTGTGTATTGCTAATGTCTACTGCAGTGTTTATTGCTAATGTCTACCGCAGTGTTTATTGCTAATGTCTACCGCAGTGTTTATTGTTAATGTCTACCGCAGTGTTTATTGCTAATGTCTACCGCAGTGTTTATTGTTAATGTCTACCGCAGTGTTTATTGTTAATGTCTACCGCAGTGTTTATTGCTAATGTCTACCGCAGTGTTTATTGCTAATGTCTACCGCAGTGTTTATTGTTAATGTCTACCGCAGTGTTTATTGTTAATGTCTACTGCAGTGTTTATTGCTAATGTCTACCGCAGTGTTTATTGCTAATGTCTACCGCAGTGTTTATTGCTAATGTCTACCGCAGTGTTTATTGCTAATGTCTACCGCAGTGTTTATTGCTAATGTCTACCGCAGTGTTTATTGCTAATGTCTACCGCAGTGTTTATTGTACTGGTCAAGTGTTTATCGTTTATTTTGAAGAATCATTATATTTAATGTTTCTTGTGCACATTGTATTTTTTTCTTCTGTTTCAGCTTTGGCGTTCTGAAGGTGTCAGAGAGAGCTTTCAGGCACTGTGACACACACACAGCTTCCTACAGAGCCGATATTTGTGGCACCATACCTTAGCTTCTTGCAGTGAACCTGCAGGCAGTGACACAGCTACCTGCAGTGCCAAGGTAAGAAGACAAACACAAGGACGAAAGAGGTTTGGTAAAGCCAAACAAAGACATTTAATGAGGCAAAAAAAGACAGGTAAGGGCCAAACAAAGACTGGTAAGGACCGAATCACGGCAATTAACTAAACAAGGACAGGTAAGTACGAAATAAGTACATAATATAATACACATGAGCAGATAATGACCACACAAGCTTGCCTGCTGGTCAAACACGCACGTTCTTTGTGTATCGCGTGTCACCTTTGTCAAATACGTCAGGTTTTGTCTCTTACAACGTCATCTTCGTTACGTTATCACATTACAAATTCTATAACGTTGCTCATGTGGACACGTAGATTCCATCTTGAACTTACTGTTAAAGACCGCGAACGTTTCCATACCATTAATAGGTGAGGCCAGGAGCTGACATTCAACCCCTACCACCGTAACTAATAGTGTCCAACAGGTATCCCTCCACATTAGTGGCTGTAGCAAGAACTGTGGTTCGATCCCCCCTACCCCCACCCCCCTGGCCACAACAGTAGTGTACACAGTAGGTATCACAGCTTCTTCCTAAACACTCTCTTGATCACTATCGTTGTAAATAAACCGCAAAAACCGGTTTCAGGAGGTTTGAGTCCCTAAGTTTAACCCGGGAGTAGGTGCGGCCTTCACCCAGTATGGTACCGCACTCTCAAGTACTCGCAAATACCCAAGAGTAGTATAAGTACCCACTAGTACCCACAAGAACCCAGACGTTACAAGAATTCTTAACAAGCAGCTATAAAATCTGGTCGTCTGTCATCGTTTTTGACAGCTAAGGTCAAATCACTTCTGCATTTTTTAGTTAAATGGCTTCACAGATAGTGGAACGTCGCTTGAAAATGGTCATAATCCTGAGTGTTCTTTTTTATATTATAAAGATAGCTACAGGAGCAGAGTTGTTCTTATTGTCCCGCTCTTCATTACTTTGTCGTGAATGTAGTTTCCAGTTGTTACAGCATTTACTGTGGCCTCTTGGATCCTATTTCCAGGAGTCTTCCAGTGGCTAGATTCCCCTTCCAGCTGTCTACCAGCAGTTGGGTCCTATTCCAACAGTCTAACAATAATTGTAACACTTACCATCTCTTCTTGGATATCGCTCTGGTCGCCTGCCATTCTTTGAAGAAATATTTTGTAGTGACCTTTCGATACCCTTTTTTATTTCCTCAATTTACTACTGTTGCTCAGACTCTTGGCCCTCCATATTCAGCAAAAATTGCCAAAAAACATTGTCCCTGGCCTTATATAACTCTGTGAAACTGGACACCTCACCCCACACACTCCATTGACCAAGGATATATAACTCGACTCGTCAAAGGCAGCAGTTAAATAATTGCAAAAGCCTGTAGACTGATAGTCCTGAGGCCACATATTATCAAAACATTTGAGCACTGAGAAGTAAGATTATGAAACTCGTGGAATCACATTTGTACAACCCAGGTGCATTGTAGGCTTGGTGGAAGCCGCTCCTGCCTCTCTCGTATCTGCCATGACAGGGTTCTGCAAGCTCTGGCTTACAAGCAAAATTCCTGCGTAATATATACACTAGGCTTTGAAACAGGAACATTATTATATTACTGGTTTATAAAACTGGCGAGTAGTTGAATAAGCCACATGTGTAAATAACAAAAAGGCACAATACCGTGACTGGAACGATACACAAATAACCCGCACATAAAAGAGAGAAGCTTACGACGACGTTTCGGTCCGACTTGGACCATTGACAAAGTCACTGGTCCAGTGTCAATGGTCCAGGTCGAACCGAAACGTCGTCGTAAGCTTCTCTCTTTTATGTGCGGGTTATTTGTGTAAGCCACATGTGCAACACTTAGGTACCTTTACAGTGGAGAGGCTTCACCAATCAGTGGCTTTATCAATCCAATACAGAGAATGAACTGTGACAGACGTCGCGTCCTGCAGCGTTTCTTCTTTCTATGGGCTTTATAAAGCCCCTGGTTGGTGAACGTCTCCAAAAGAAGATAACCAGGTGTTCCGCGCGCGCACACACACACACACACACACACACACACACACACACACACACACACACACACACACACACACACACACACACACACACACAAATGTGGGCAAAGAAGAATACCTAGTTAATTGGGAATGTAGATCATTAACTGTCTAAAAAAGTGTGAAATAGTCATAACATAAGAGGGCCTCTGCACTGAATTATTCCGTTCTTCAGAGCACAGTACTCGCCCCAGTACGCGTTGATTTTCATCTCTAACGTAGATAAACGTGTTTTGTGTGTGTGTGTGTGTGTTTATAATACGTTAACACGCGTATACACGCTTTAAAACGATTATTTCATCGCGTCTTGTAATATACCCTCCCGAGCAATGAACACACGCCACTGAGCAACTAGCGAACGCCACGGAACAACAAGCACACGCTACGGAACAACGAACAAACGGAACAACTATCACACGCCACGGATCAACTAGCACACGCCACGGATCAACTAGCACACGCCACGAGCAACTAGCGAACGCCACGGAACAACGAACACATGCCACTACGGAACAACGAGCACACGCCATGCAACAACGAATATACGCCGCCACGGAGCAATGAACACACGCCACGGAGCAACGAGCATACGCCGAAGAAGGCTGAGACGGTGTTGGCTTGAGTCATGCGAGAGATGCTAGCACACTACAGTCAGCACTACACCACAGGCCCAGGGAAAGACTGGCTGAAAAGCGTCTGGAAGCAAGTGCCGTCACGCAAATAGGCAATAGGAGTAACTGGAAACTAATTATTCCTTCCCCCATCACCAATGGGAACGAACTTTTCAAGCGCCTTATACTCTGGGCAGACACAATGCTTGCAACACCTCCCTCGATCAGTGCTGTGTTGGTGAGCGTATTGAATAATAATTATATTAATCTTTATTTCTACAAGTACATATACAAAGTATACAGTCGTAGCTGACATCAGTGACATACTATTGTATAGAAAGTCCCTTGTTATGCAGAGCATTTCGGGCAAATTACGTCAGTTTTGTCCCCAGGATGCTACCCACACCAGTCGACTAACACCAAGGTACCTATTTTACTGATAGGTGAACATGGACAGAAGGTGTCTTAAGGAAACACGTCCTAATGTTTCCACCCTTACCGGAGATCGAACCACGGACCTCAGTGTGTGAGATGAGTTTGCTAGCCAACCCACCCTCTGGTGTTGCTGCCAACCCACCCTCTGGTGTTGCTGCCAGCCCACCCTCTGGTGTTGCTGCCAGCCCACCCTCTGGTGTTGTTGTCAACCCACCCTCTGGTGTTGTTGCCAACCCATCCTCTGGTGTTGTTGCCAACCCACCCTCTGGTGTACTTGCCAACCCACCCTCAGGTGTAGTTGCCAACCCACCCTCTGGTGTTGCTGCCAATCCACCCTCAGGTGTAGTTGCCAATCCACCCTCTGGTGTTGTTGCCAACCCACCCTCTGGTGTACTTGCCAACCCACCCTCAGGTGTAGTTGCCAACCCACCCTCTGGTATTGCTACCAATCCACCCTCAGGTGTAGTTGCCAACCCACCCTCTGGTATTGCTACCAATCCACCCTCAGGTGTAGTTGCCAACCCACCCTCTGGTGTTGCTGCCAACCCACCCTCAGGTGTAGTTGCCAACCCACCCTCTGGTATTGCTACCAATCCACCCTCAGGTGTAGTTGCCAACCCACCCTCTGGTATTGCTACCAATCCACCCTCAGGTGTAGTTGCCAACCCACCCTCTGGTATTGCTACCAATCCACCCTCAGGTGTAGTTGCCAACCCACCCTCTGGTGTTGCTGCCAACCCACCCTCAGGTGTAGTTGCCAACCCACCCTCTGGTGTTGCTGCCAACCCACCATCTGGTGTTGCTGCCAACCCACCCTCAGGTGTAGTTGCCAACCCACCCTCTGGTATAGTTGTCGACCCAGCCTCTGGCGTTACTAACCTACCATCCGTACTTGCGTTCCCAAACCACAAACTTCGTCCCCAAGCCTAGCAGGGAGGGATCTAGCATCACACATGCCAGCCACGCGCGGAGAACAGCGAGCCTAGATATTACATCGTCTGCTCTTGTATATTCGCCCATGTAAAAACCGTGCCAATCTGAAATTTCATGCAAATGGCTGGAACGACTAGTCGAGGCCTGACTTTACGATCTCGCCTAAACAGGGGACCCAAATGAGGTAAACACTGGTGTACCAGCCTCATCATATATATATATATATATATATATATATATATATATATATATATTTTAAATATATATATATATATATTTTTTTTTTTTTCAACAAGTCGGCCGTCTCCCACCGAGGCAGGGTGACCCAAAAAAGAAAGAAAATCCCCAAAAAGAAAATACTTTCATCATCATTCAACACTTTCACCACACTCGCACATTATCACTGTTTTTGCAGAGGTGCTCAGAATACAACAGTCTAGAAGCATACACATATAAAGATACACAACATATCCCTCCAAACTGCCAATATCCCAAACCCCTCCTTTAAAGTGCAGGCATTGTACTTCCCATTTCCAGGACTCAAGTCCGACTATGTGAAAATAACCGGTTTCCCTGAATCCCTTCACTAAATATTACCCTGCTCACACTCCAACAGATCGTCAGGTCCCAAGTACCATTCGTCTCCATTCACTCCTATCTAACACGCTCACGCACGCTTGCTGGAAGTCCAAGCCCCTTGCCCACAAAACCTCCTTTACCCCCTCTCTCCAACCCTTTCGAGGACGACCCCTACCCCGCCTTCCTTCACCTATAGATTTATATGCTTTCCATGTCATTCTACTTTGATCCATTCTCTCTAAATGACCAAACCACCTCAACAACCCCTCTTCTGCCCTCTGACTAATGCTTTTATTAACTCCACACCTCCTAATTTCCACACTCCGAATTTTCTGCATAATATTTACACCACACATTGCCCTTAAACAGGACATCTCCACTGCCTCCAACCGTCTC